GATACCTAGTGTGGTTCAATGGAACCTCGCTCTAAACCCATGGCTAGAGCACCCAAAGGTGGAAGGCGGGGAAAGTACCTATGAAGCTCGCGTAGGGCCATGATGTTCCGAAATGTTGTCCCAAAGTCCTGGATGGTGGAAAGGAAGAGGAGCACTCTTCTGGCGTAGTGACCAAGGATGCGGTCACATGACAAGGAAGTCCTAGAGAACAAGGGGACTTAGTGGTCGGGTCTGTGGAACTTGATGTAGTGGCAATGTTAGTGAACACGGCCATGGACAAAAAAGGACTTAGTGGGGACCGGAGAAGAGATATTGGGGAAGGCTATTCCCTATGTATGTGGGCATCCTAAAGATGTTAAGGAGTGGATTTGAGATGATCACTCATGGACGGATAGCCTAATCTTTAAGAAACAGGATTGCAATGCAGGTGGTGTTGGACCACTGGTGTGACCAAGGGGAATGAGCATAGCCTTAGCGTAACGAGCTGATATGTCAGTGGTATTTTGGGGTGTCGGTCGTGGGATCGGATATGTGGAGCACTTGGACCAAGTGCAAAGGTTGAGTGGCATGGATGCTATTCTCGAGGTTAACAAGCCCCAAGTCTTGAATTGGACTTATAGAAGTTGTGAATGAGACTCCTCTAAGTGGTCGGAGATGTGATTAAGTGACTAAAGTAGAATGGAAAAATTAATCACTTACAGTTGGTTTTACCTTCGCGATTGCCACAGGCTATTGATACTAGGTCGTGGGATCAGTATTTGACAAGTATTCTTCCACTTATTTGAGTAGAGTCTATTGAACATTTGGGCCGCATACAAGTGGGACAACAACTACACTACAACTCCCATCATTGTCCACCTACGGAGTACAAAGTGGATGACTTGGTGTTATTTCATTTCCCCCATCTTATAGTATATGGTCTATATAAAGGGCTCTTTGCTCAGTGGAAATGACTATATCAGGTGTTGTGGCAAGTTAAACCGCAAGTTTATAAGGTTCAATATAACATTCAACAAACAGATCCTTCAAAAATTATGCATATACAGCAATTGAAATGTTTTATACAAAGGAATTAGGAATAACTAACACCACCTACAAATCCACCGATACCTCCTCTTAATGTTCCTCTAGATCTTGGTCCATCCATGAAAGAACCCTAACGATTTTTTATCATTTCAAAAAGAAGGGATGATGTGAAGTCCAAATGTATAATTATGATATTGTATATTATAATGTAGTGGGATTTTGGTAGCTATTGGATTGGTTTTAATCTAGACCACTTGCTCCTATATATAAATTAGGGTTTTTTGGTTAATTGATATATATATTTTTTTGTATTCTCTTTCCATATTCCATGCACTCAAAACTTCTTAATATATTCTAGTTTATTCATGGTTGATATGCAATAAGATTTAATATTGTATTTATAAATTATAATCATATTTATAATTATAAACCTTCATTTAATTCATAAATAGGAATAACACTCATTGCTGCATGCAATGTGCAGCAAATTAATATGTGGGAAAATGAAAGGTTAGTGCAAAATGGCTCAAATCACAGCAATATGGCATTTCTAATTTATTTTGTATTAATTTATAATTTTTTTTATTTTTTTATTTTACTTCTACTTATTGTTTGTAATATTGTTATTGTTAAAATTCACATCAAGTGAGTCTAAAGTTTTGCTAGAGAGGCTTGGTGATTTGAGATGCATCCATGAGAGATTATGAGAGAGTGACCATGCAAAGATCACATATCTCACCAACTGAGATCAGTTTAACCCCTAGCTTGACTAACTTACAACACTCTTAACTTAATTTTCAACAAGATCTTTGCTTTGAGCAAGGTGACCTTTGAAGGTGTTCTTGCTCATGACGCTCAAGGCTGTGGAGCCTACGAGGAACTGGAGAAGAAGAAGAAAGTTTCATGGAGATACTCATACTGCACGTTCCTGAAACTCGTGGACGGCAGGATTCGAACCTGCGCGGGTGAAGCCCACATGATTTCTAGTCATGCCCGATAACCACTCCGGCACGTCCACGTTATTGATTATGTGTTGTGACGAGCCTCGTTAGCGTTTCCTCTCGAGTGCAAACAAAATTGAAGTCCAAAGAGGCTTAGGTGATATCAGCACCAGTTTTCACAAGAAAGCAACAACTTGAGTAATGAAGGTGACTGTGTTTCAGCAGGTTGAGACATAACTTTGGAATTTGCAAAGCTCTTGTATGGCCTTTGTGAAGTGGCCGAAAACTTAAGTCAACTAACGCACAGCCTAATGACTTGAGATCTTCTCCGTTGTAATGAATGTCCAGCATCTGATCTCGACTCCTATAAGGGCATGCTTGTGACGGCTGTTGAAGATAACAAGCTCGAGGTCCTTTCAGCGCCCAGGATGAGAGGTGGCGGCGGCGGCGAAGATGCCGCGTTCCAAGTCGGCCCAGATATCGTCGACGTGCTCCAGGCCGACAGAGATTCTGAGGAGTCCATCTGTGATTCCCAGAGCAATCCGCTGGTCGCGAGGGAGGAAGGAATGCGAGGAGCTTGCCGAGTGGGAGACGGTGGTGGTGACGCCTCCGAGGCTGGGACACAGCGTTATCATCTGGAATGCGTCTATTGCTGCTGCGGCTCCATCAAGTCCGTTTGGAACTTCGAGCGCGACGATCGAGCAGCCTTGTGCCGCGTGAACTCGAAGAGGGAGCGGATGAGCTGAAAGCCGCTGAGAAAGAATGCTAGCTGACTGCCACTGTCGCTGGATTCGGACCTGTGAAGTCCAGAGTGAGAAAACACGAGGCTAGTTGGATAAAAGTGGAGTCTCTCACTTACTTTCAGAGTTTGAATTCCTCGCAGTACGAGCCATGAATCGAATGGTGAGGCGGCTAGACCCCAGCGAGCTACGATTCCTGCGGCACTTGTCACGTACTCGGATGATCCAACGAGTGCTCCAGCCATAGCATCATTGTGACCTCCCAGAAACTTGGTCGCAGAGTGTACAACCATATCCGCTCCCTACAAAAACAAAAGAACTCAGAACTTTGACAGTAATCAAGAGACAACCTGCTTTAGCGGCTTGAGCTGGACGGGAGTACCAAAGGTATTGTCCACGATAAGAACGCATCCATATTTCTTGCACAACTTTGAAATCGCTGGAATGTCCGCAACTTTAACCAGCGGATTTGAGAACGTCTCCACAAACACTGCAATGCGGCCACTGACGCCGGCCGTAGCAGCAGCGTAGAGCTCAGAGAGAGTTGCGTCGAGTCTCACAAGATCTAGAACGTCTTCCAGACGTACGGAGATGCCAAACCTGTCAAAGTCATTGACTAACAAGTCGTAAGTTCCTCCGTATGGATCACGCGGAGCGACCAAAACGTCCCCTCTCTTGCACACTGCAAGCAAGGCTGCGAGAATAGCTCCCATTCCCGACGAGCAAGCAAGGCCTGCTCGAAGACCCAAGCATTAGACAATGTAATTCACTGAAATGGAAAATCTACCTGATTCACCGCCTTCCAGCAGAGCAATAGCGTCTCCTAGCTCCTTGGTGTTTGGAGAACCATACCTCCTATAGACGTGAGCAGCTTCAGCGTAGTCGGAAAATTTGTCAAACTTATTTGCAGAAGCCAGGCACAGCACCTGCTTGGCACTGCCTTTGGCAAGCGGCTTTCCTGAATGGCAGCAAAGAGTAGCGACTTCGAAATCCATCCCAAGAGCTCTGCGAAAGAAGGAATCAAGGGTAAGCTCTTGCTGCATGTAATGCCAAATTGAAGTTCACCTGGATTTAAAATGTAAAGTTTGAAGTATCTGTACATATTAGACACTTCACTCGAAACTACACAAAAGGACCCGATCACGGTGCTCGAGCAGCAGTTTGGACAGTGCAAGAGGAACATGAGCTCTCACTAGTGTTCCTGAATCTGTATACTCCTGTAAAACCAGAAAGTTTTGATTAATTCCCAGCGAAACAGAAGACTGCCTCATGTTCCACAACACCACGCCTGTGGATCATGTCCACGCCTTGCTATATGGGACAATGGTTTCCACTCGCACAAGTAAATCCTGCAAAAATATTTTTGAGTTCTCTGTGTTTCATATGATTTGTAAACCTTGAGTTTTGTTTCCACAGCGTCAAAAAATTCTTGAATGCCTTCTCCGGTTAAGGCTGACACGCAGATTGCACCTTGTTGTTTGGCTTCCGCTCTCAAGGTATCTGGGTCCTCAGCTTTGTCAATCTTACACAAAAGTAAACGCGATCAGTAACTTTGCAGACATGTACAGGATTACCTTATTCCACACTGAAAGTAGTCAGCAAGAACTTCGTCAACAGCTTCTGTTTGTTCAGGCGCCATTGGATGACTGTAACAAACGCAAATCAAAACACACAGCAAACAAAAGATGAAGGCTAACCTTCTATGTACAACATGTAGGATCAAAGGCAAATCGCTGATTGCACGAAGGCAACCTACAAACAAAGTTAAGAACGCAAGCTCAAACGTCATGAACTTACAAGTTGTGTCGGAAGCTTTTAAATAAAACCCACAGCATCTGTAAACAAACCTTCATTTTCATTCGGGAGCTGAAAAGGATACAACATCAACAACAGAACAATGCCTACATGAGGCTCACCTGTACACGTCTCGTAATAGGATCTAGTGTGGCAAACAGTTTATCTTCTGCTAGAACACCAGCATTACTAAGCTTGTTCAAAAGTGTGCTCTTGCCAGCATTTGTATAGCCAACCTGTGGAATCTCTAATGAGCTTACAAGAAAAGAGCCAAGAGATATGTACCAGAGAAATAACAGGGATAGGAACCGATGCTCTCCGGTTTCTATACTGTTGCCTGTGGTCACGTACCGACTCGAGATTCTTCCTCAGCTCGGCAATCGTAAAAAGCCACAAACTTCAGTTTCAGTGTGCGAAATCAACCTTTGTTCTAAGGATACGTTTATCAAGTTCGATCTGCTTCTCTCCCATACCATTCACCATACCTCCTGCTTGTCTTTCAAGGGGAGTCCAAAGTTTTGTCGATCGCGGCAGCTGGTACTCACTCTACCTTTGAAGAATAAGCAGTTTTATCTTGAAAAAGATAAAAAAAGTTACAGCACAAAATCCTGTTAAACTACAATAACAGCTACCTGCAAAGCCACTTTCACGCGTCGCTGCTCTCTGGCTAAAGATGTCAAGAATCAGAGCTGTGTGAACATGATCACCAAATGCCTTTTCTAACCTGGAATGGAAGCCAATGAGCAATTGGAAGACGTTGTCATGGAGAGTTCCTAAAGTTCTTGCCATTCTTACCCCGGCGATATTTCGTCATCCAAGGTCACCCGTCTCAACGTCGAGAGCCTGGAGAGCGGTCTTCACCTCCGCAACTTTCCCAGACGCCATGTATGTTCTCGGATTTGGACAATCTATAGGTAATAAAGCAAAAAAGCTTCGCAAAAGCTATAAGCTTGAAAACTTGACACGTACTTTTGATATGTCGGCCAGTCCGGCTGTGTCGGCAAGCTGCTCGAGCTCCAAACAATGCGCGATGGTCGACTCCCACGAGAAACGCATTCTCTTGATAAATCTACACGCGGCAAGTCCCAACAATCATCGACTAGAAAGAAGAAATCTATCACAGTTTCTTACCTCTCGATTGTTGCGAATCACAAATCGATCGCTGGAATCCTCACTACTATCAGTCACAGACGACGATACCGTAGTGCTCCGACCTGGCGAAGAGCGAGAGCTTCTTCCTCTCGCGGCGGCACAAGCGGAAATTCGCCCCCCATTTCTCTGCTCCTCCTCATCAATGTGGATCCCATCCCGGAGCCGGCATTCTGCCATCGCTCATCCACACCAAAGAGCCCTAAAACCCGTGTAAAGCTCGAATATACTAGAATAGTTTTCAAATTTTAGGGTTTATCTTTCATAAGGTTTTAGACCATGGTCATGTCCTAGAAATTGTAAGCTCTCTCCAAGTTATTTCATGAATGATTTGTGTAAATCCTTGAACAGGGAGATACCATCTACGATGCAAAGACCAACATTTCCAGCAACAACAACAAGTACTACGCTTAGGTAGTCTCTTGATTTTTCTATGCACTGACTAATCTCGCCCCTTTCTTTTTCTGAAGAGTCTGATGATCGAATTGCGTACTATACGTTTGCGCGATGGGGTAGAGTCGGCTCCATGACTAGGGAGGTAATTAACGCCAGAAACCTTGTAGACAAGGAGTTTGATCGTTGCAAAATAATTATGATAGAAGGGAATCCGAATATTCGCAACGCGCCATAGCGCGGATCTCTGACCGTCCGATTGCGCTAGAAACAAGCGGCTGGATGCTAACCCTACTGCGTCATTTGTGCGCGATCCCACGGCACCGCCGAGAGCTCCGATCGATCGGGGGAGCGATTCGTCCTTTCAGGTTAGTGCTGCGAGGCTAGCGCGGCGCGAGCTAGATCCAAGATGCTGACGACGTTCGAGACGAAGAGCAATCGCGTCAAGGGCCTGAGCTTCCATCCCAAGCGGCCATGGATCTTGGCCAGTCTCCACACCGGCGTCATTCATCTGTGGGATTACCGGATGGGATCTCTCATAGATCGCTTCGACGAGCACGACGGCCCGGTTCGCGGCGTTCATTTCCACAGCTCTCAGCCTCTTTTCGTCTCGGGAGGTAAACCACGAACCAGCATTCGCGTCTTTGATCAATATTTCGATTGATCTTGTCCAGGCGATGACTACAAGATCAAGGTCTGGAACTACAAGGCGAGAAGGTGCCTGTTCACGCTGCTGGGGCATTTGGATTACATCCGGACTGTTCAGTTCCATCAGGAGTATCCCTGGATCGTGAGTGCCAGCGACGATCAAACCATCAGGATTTGGAACTGGCAGTCGCGGACGTGCGTTTCCGTGCTCACGGGACACAATCACTACGTCATGTGTGCTTCGTTTCACGTCAAGGACGATCTCGTGGTGTCGGCATCGCTGGATCAGACTGTTCGTGTGTGGGATATCAGCTCTCTCAGGAAGAAGACGGTCTCTCCAGCCGAGGATCTTCTGATGCTCACGCAGATGAACAGCGATCTTTTTGGCGGCGGTGATGTGGTGGTCAAGTATGTTCTCGAGGGACATGACAGGGGTGTCAACTGGGCTGCTTTTCATCCGAGCTTGCCGCTCATTGTCTCTGGCGCTGACGATCGACAAGTTAAGCTGTGGAGGATAAATGGTATGTGAACTTCTTTTTTTTTTTTCTTGTCATGCTGTCTAGTTTCTAAACGCTTGCATTGGTTCTATAGACACAAAGGCTTGGGAGGTTGATACTTTGCGCGGTCACACCAACAACGTTTCCTGTGTCCTGTTCCACGCTCGCCAGGACATCATCGTCTCTAACTCGGAGGACAAAACTATTCGAGTCTGGGACTTGTCCAAGCGTTCGGCCGTGCAAACTTTCAGGAGGGACCACGACCGTTTCTGGGTTATCTGTGGCCACCCCGAGATGAACCTTCTTGCGGCAGGGCATGACAGTGGAATTATAGTCTTCAAGCTCGAAAGGGAGAGGCCGGCTTATACAATCAGTGCAGGGGTGCTGTATTACGTCAAAGAAAAGAGTTTGAGGACTTACGACTTTGCCACTTCGGAGGACACATCACTGATAAACATTCGAAGAGCGGGGCTGAATCAGGCGCCTAGAACGTTGTCTTACAATCCAGCTGAGAACGCCGTTCTTTTATGCTCGGACGTTGACAACGGTACGTACGAGCTTTACATCATCCCAAGGGACAGCATCAGAAACGACACTTTGGAACCGAAGAAAGGCAGCGGGTCGTCGGCCGTTTTCGTGGCCCGCAACCGCTTTGCTGTTCTGGACAAGGCGCACGGCTTGATTCTAGTCAAGAATCTCAGGAACGAGGTCTCCAAGAGAGTCGAGGCTCCATCTGCGACAGTTGATGCCATCTTCTATGCGGGGACGGGAACTCTTCTCTGTCGCTCAGACGACAAGATGATCTTGTTTGACCTCCAACAGAAGGCGGTTTTGGGAGAGATTCACAGCCCCCAAGTGAAGTACGTGGTTTGGTCACTGGACATGGAGGCCGTGGCTCTGGTGAGCAAGCATAGCGTCGTCATGACGACGAAGACGCTGGCTCTCAAGTGCAGCGTTCACGAGACTATCCGTATCAAGAGTGCTGCATGGGATGACAAAGGGGTGCTCTTCTACACGACTCTGAACCACATCAAGTACTGTCTTCCAAATGGAGATAACGGCACCATCTCGACTCTGGACGTTCCAATCTACATAACTCGGGTGGCCGGCGACAAAGTCTATTTCCTGGACAGGGAGGGGAAAGTTAAGACCATCACCATTGACACGACGGAGTTCACGTTTAAGCTGGCGCTGCTCCAGGAACGATACGATCGAGTTTTGGAAATGATCAGGAGCTCTCGACTTTGTGGACAGGCGATCATCTCATATCTGCAGCAGAAGGGATTCCCCGAGGTAGCCCTGCATTTCGTGAAGGACGAGAGGACCAAGTTCAATCTGGCCATCGAGTGTGGCAACATCGAAGTCGCAGTTGCTTCAGCAAAAGAGATTGACGAGAAGGATTACTGGTACAGGCTGGGGGTGGAAGCTTTAAGGCAGGGCAACCACGAGATTGTGGAGTACGCATATCAGCGAACAAGGAACTTTGAGAGGCTGTCGTTCCTCTACCTGATAACCGGGAATTTGGACAAGCTGTCGAGGATGCTGAAGATCGCAGAGACGAGAAACGACGTGATGGGATGCTTTCACAACGCCTTATACCTGGGTGACGTCGAAGAGCGGGTCAAGTTACTTGAGAAAACGGGACACGTTCCTCTTGCATACGCAACTGCGGCTGTTCATGGGCTTGTTGAGGTGGCGGAGCGTCTGGCTACAGAGCTGGGTGACAAGGTGCCACAGATTCCTAAGCTTGAGAAGTCGAAGTTGCTAGTGCCGCCATCTCCAATTCTCCGGGACAGCAACTGGCCGCTGCTCTTGATCAGCAGAGGCTTTTTCGAAGGCGGCTTTGCCGAGCCTGGGGTAGTGGACCAAGAGGAAGAAAACGCTCCGGATGAATGGGGTGAAGAACTCGTCATCATACCAGGCGGAGAGTCTCAAAGAACTGGCGAAATGGAAGAGATCGAGGAGATTCAAAGAGCCGGAGCTGGAGCTGAGGAGGGCGAAGAAGAGGGAGGCTGGGAGCTGGAAGACCTGGAACTTCCGCCGGAGGTGGTGCAGAGCCAAAACGCTACAACGTCCAGCTTCTTCGCTGGTGTAACTCCAGGAGCTCCGGTCACTCAACTCTGGACGCAAAGGTCCTCCTTGGCTGCCGATCACGTGGCCGCTGGAGCCTTCGACAGTGCAATGCGCCTCCTCAATCGGCAACTCGGGATCAAAAACTTCGCGCCGCTGCAACTGGTGTTTTGCGACCTCCACCTCGCGAGCCAGAGCTCGCTTGGGGCCTTCAAGCCGGTGGAGTCCCTGACGTATGGCCTCGAGAGAGGCTGGTCGGACTCGCCGCCTCCAAACGTCCGCAACGGGCCAGCGCTGATCTACAAGCTCTCCCAGCTGGAGGACCGAGCCAAGCAGGCCTACAAGCTCACCACCGAAGGCAAATTCACTGAAGCTCTCCGCCTCTTCCTCGCCATCCTTCACACCGTCCCGGTGATTGTCGTGGACAGCCGCAAAGAGGTGGACGACGTCAAGGACCTGATCGGCAAGAGCAAGGAGTACGTCCTGGCGCTCAAGATGGAGCTCAAGCGCAAGGATCTCAGGGACGAGCCCGTCCGCCAGGCCGAGCTCGCGGCGTACTTCCCTCACTGCGACATCCAGCCTTCGCACGTCCGGCTCGGCTTACAGTCGGCTATGGCGGCCTCGTATCGGTGCGGGAACTTCGCCACGGCGGCGCAGCTCGCGAGGCGATTGCTCGACATGAATCCAAACCAGGCCAGCATCGCCAAGGCGCGGCAGCTCCTCCAGGCGTGCGAGAGGAACCCCCGCGACGAGAAGAGGATGAACTACGACGGCAGGAACCCGTTCGTGGTGTGTGGAGCAACGTTTACGCCCATCTACGCGGGCAGCAGGTCGGTGTCGTGCCCCTACTGCGCTGCTCGGTTCGTCCCCGAGGTGGCGGGCAGGATTTGCAGCGTTTGCGACTTGGCGGTGGTGGATGCTGACGCTTCCGGGCTTGTGTGTTGCCCGACTCAATCGCGGTGATCAATCAACTAACGTTTTTAAAAGAAAAAGAGCGCGAAACATAATTATAGGGTTTATAAATAATATCCGGGTTTAGTGTCTAGGGTTTAGGTTCCTATTCCATATGTAGTTAGAGCCGATGAGATATGGAACAAAGCTCGAAAGAATAGTCATATATGTAATTTTTCCTCAAGGCACAGCGATATGGGAGAATAGTGAGCAATTGTTGTGGGAAGGGCATGGAGATCAGGATCGAGGCTGAAATCTCCAGAGAAGTCTAGAGCCAGTGTTTGTCAAGTCTTTAGCCTTTTGGATCCTGCGATTGAACATGTGAGGTTTTTGCAAGAGGGGCGTTTCTGCCATATGATCAAGGAAGAGATTAGCGATCTGGAGAGCTCAGAGAGTTTCTAAACACTAGCTCCAGTACCAACAGAAAGGAACCCATGATCGAGGCCATCACCGGATCTGCGAGCCAAACGAGTCACTGATGTGAATAGAAAAGCTTGGATGAATCTTTTCTTTCTTTTGTGCTTCTTCCGAGCTGCTGCTTTCTAAATGCAATGAATCATGAGATAGAAATGGGTCTCTAAAACGCCCAAATGATTCTTGCACTTCGGGACGCGCTGCAAAGAGAAAAGAGCCCACCAATCGGTTCCTCGCCGGAAGCGACTACATTATTCTGCTTCATCAGTACCCCTAAAGGAGAAGAGGAATCTCAAGATCTATTTCAAAGGGAAAGCAAAGACAAGGAGCCAGGAAATCTATGACGCTGTAGACTTGGCCGTTTGGATTTGCTGCCACTGGGTTGGCCTTTGGGAGCAGCCAACCCAAGGGCAGCATGCTGGGTTTGCGCAAACCCAGACGGCCAAGTCTACAACAGCAGCTATCCCCACCGCTACCAGGACAAGCGGTGGGATAAAGTAGAAGATCCTGCTTATCACCCTTCCAACTCCCCCACTAGCGCTGCCACCTGACCCAGTAGAGCTGGTTCGATCAGTTTCAGTCCGTCCTCTTCGCAGCCGTAACCACAACGTTGTGGTTACGACTGCGAAGAGGAGATGCTTGTGGACTGAAACTGATGGGTCAAAAGCTTGCCCGAGTGGCAGTGGTGCTTAAAGCACTCACATCGATCTGTGCACGAGAGAAACAATGGCCACACAATCAATCCCAAAAGGAGAGCTAGAATGAGCACTACGTAGTGACTTACCTGAAATGGTTGCGAGCACTACTCGCAAGAGGGAGTGAGAGCCACTAGATAGAGAGGGATCTTGGATATTCCAGGAGTCGAGGCTAAGCTTTATCCTTCCACCGGCGACTACATAATGGAGTGGCACAAAACCAATGCAACCGGGCCGGCATTGTAGCCAAGAGGAGTTTGAATTCTTGATCGTCGCAGAAGATCTTCAAACGGACGGCTAAGATCTGGGTTTTGTGTTACTAACGGACGGCTCAGATCTGAAATTTGACTTTCTGTTCGCGAGGTTGTGGGCAAAAGCCGGCTGACAAGTGTGCCTCCAGCGTCACTCTCCTCGGCTCCGTCGACTCATCCAGCAGAACGGCGGCCCTGGGCCGAGGTGGGTGACCCTGTAGCGCGGTGGAGCCTTGCTTCTCACCCCCGCATTTCCGGCTTCTCACCACCGCGAAGGCGAAGATATTGCCCGTTTGCGCTACCGAGTGCTGCCGCCTCCACGTCGAGAGAGCAACGCTCACCACCGAAGGGAAATTCAATGGGCTCTTCCGTGATCGTCCGCAAAGGTGGACGACGTCAAGCTTGATCGGCAAGAGTCCGAACTTCACCTGAGGGGCCGTCGCGTGCTGTTCAAATCGAACGTAAAATCGGCGAATTCTACGATGAAATGTTTCTTGCCCTAAAGGATGCCAAGTGAAGCTTTTTCGGCCTGCGCGATTAGACATTGTTTTCGTTTGCTTGTAAGACGGGGAGAAGAGCTCTGAATAGTTTGTGTGTTCTTATCCGCGTCCTTCCGAGCTGGAGCTGGCACATCTGGAATGGTTTCTAAACACTAGCTCCATTACCAACAGAATGATTACTCAAGGATCGTCTGTAGCTAATTAAGCCATGGGAGAATTAGCGTTTGATCACAAATCATCGGGCGATGGCCGCGATGCTCGCAACCAGCTCAGAGAATCATGGGACCCAGAATCTGAAAATGAAGCGATTCTTGATTCTTGACACTTCTACATGCATTGGAAAAGAGAAATCAGCTCACGGCCGGGAGAATATCTTCATCATTACCCGAGAAAGGATCTATTTCAAAGAAAAAAAAGATTTTACAAGCAGACAAGCCAACCTTGAAGCTTGACTGCTTGTAAACTCTTTGCTTCCACGATCATGAGTCGCCAGTGTCACAAAGTTGTTGTTTGATTGCGAACAGGAGATGCATGCGCAAGAAAACTGATATAGCTCAGGTGGCAGCAGCGCAGGCGATGAGCACGGGGATGTATGCACTACTAACCTGTTTTTTTTTCTTGTTTACCTCGCATTCGAGACGCCATAGAACGAGGCCCTTGCAATCTTCTCGAAGCGTTCTCGGGAGGGAAACACCGTGGAAATACCACACTGAAATCGCTTGTTTTCCCAGAGTGGAAAAGGGGTGCTAGTGGAGCAGGAAGAAGTACCAGGAGGCCGAGGAGTAGAAGCGCTCTAGCTCGAGGACTAGCAAAAGGAAACAGAGTGAGAAAGATTGGGCTGGACCTGGTGAGAATTACGAAAACGGCAAAAGTATGAATGACGATTGCATCTCGTCTCTTTTGTGCTCGCTCTGCAGGGAGGGTTGAGAGCGGAACTGGCAGCTGATCTCTTGGAGAACTGCGATCAGTCTGCCCTGATGCCACAAGTTTGCCCAGAGAGGGAATTTGAACCGATGCGAGGAACTGCTTCTGGAGATCTTATGGTGCAGCATTGCATTCTAAAATTTGATAAGTCATATGTATAACATGCGTGGCAAAACAATATCAAGAAGGTTTTTGAAAGGATCCCAAAGCAAGATAGCCTTCTGTGGAACGTGGTGTTTTTGCATATGCCTTGTTTGAATCTTTGCCAATGTTAGAAGATCAACTTCGGGAATGGCGGAAGCGGGCTCATAGCATCTCATTTTCGTAAGCGTCCTAAATTCCTCGGAAAACGTCACTGCCTTGGCGTGGACGGATCCGATGACAAGTGTTGCTTAATGTTCGCGAAGGAAGGGATCGAAGATTTGTCAAATTTTGAAACTGATGCACGTTGAAGCAGTTGAAAGATCAATATATTGACCAACCTGCTTTGACTCAACTATGCTGACCAAGCAAGAGATCTTGTGGCAAAAAAAATGTTACGAGCACAAAATCATACAAAATGGTGTCTGTGGGGACAACGTTTTTGCGCACACTCTAACTCATTCTACTCAAAGGAAAAACAACATTATTTTGAAAGAACACGGAAGTACACACCTCTCAAGTATTAAGACACGGAGTTGTAGAGAGAAGCCGCTCATTCATTCATCCATGGTGTTTTTTCTTGTTCTGGTTCTTCTGCTTCAATCCTTTGCAAAAGCTCAATGCCTGAGCTTCCGTTTCCCTGGCACCTCCGATCAATATTTTCGAGATCACATTTCCGGCCTCAAATTTCAGCCAAGCCTTCTATGCTTTATCTGTCTCCCGCATGCCGTTGTTATTTGATGCCAGCTTCGTCTTCCGGACTCATAGTGATACAGGCAGGCTTGTATTCCTAGTGGCGGGGACATCGCCGAACTACCCAGTTTGTTATGCTGATCCCCTGTACCCATGCGATCCACTCCAAGTGGCTTTCAGTTTTGCAGATCATTGGGTTTCTGTTCATGGCTGCAATGCATCTTCATCTAAATCCAACTTCCGTTTCTCCACGAATGCCACTGTCAACGCATGGGTGGAATATCATCTTCATGGAGCTCCACACTCCGTCCGTGTTTATGTTGCAGAGAATACCAACTCTCGACCAAGCACATCAATCACCGATTTCAGTTGTTCTATCACTGGTGGCTACTTCTTCCAGGGGTTGCAAGCTCTTGAAACAAACGACATAGTCACAGTTTCGTCTTGGTCATTCTCAACTGCTGGTGCTGCCTCTGCTTCAAAAGACCTGAATTTATACTTCTTGGCGATTGCAGGCCCATTTGTGATTGCTGGAGCAGCACTTTTGATTTTTCGAACACGAAGAAGGCAGCTGATGAAGAAGAAGGTGTTGCAGAGGTCGGCTTTGCTAGCTGCCAACATTCCGATAAACTGCACCTTCAAAGAGCTGCGATCTGCAACAGCTGACTTCAAGGAAGTTCTAGGCAGAGGTGGAACCAGCACCGTCTACAAGGGGTTCCTGCAAAATACACCAACATCAAGGATAGAAGTCGCAGTCAAAGACCTTCAAAGCAATTCACCTGATCATGAGGCTGAGCAGCAGTTCCGGGAAGAACTCAACATGATCAGCAGGGTAAGGCACCAAAACCTGGTCGCGCTCCAAGGCTGGTGCCATGAGCACGATAAGCTCCTCCTCGTCTACGAATGCATGTCCAAAGGAAGCCTAGACAAGGTACTCTTCACAAGCGCTTCGGGTTCAACTAATCCGCTATCCTGGAACCAAAGATTCAATATCATCAGATGTGTTGCAGAGGCGCTAAGATACCTGCATGAAGGGTTGGAGAAGCGGATTGTTCACAGGGATATCAAAGCGGCAAATGTCCTGCTGGATGAAAGAATGACTGCCAAGGTGGGGGACTTCGGCCTAGCCAGGTTGATGCAGCACACAATCGGCTCTCAAACGATGACCAGGGCGGGAACATTCGGTTATATCTCACCGGAGCTTGCTTATAGTGGAAGAGCCACTGAAAAATCCGACGTGTACAGTTTCGGGATTCTTGTACTCGAAATTGTTGCTGGAAGACGCGCTGTCGACCACAGGTTTGCTGGTGACACTAAGATGGTGCTCTTGGAATGGGCCGGAACAGTGAGTCAACCCGCAGAACTTGTTGATCCAAGGATCCAAGATGGAATTGATATGAAGCAGGTTGAGAGAATAATTCAATTGGCCCTAAGATGCTGCTCTTGGCATTCGGAGGAGCGGCCGACGATGAGGCTGTGCTGCCAAATCTTGAGTGGTGAATCAGAGCTGCCAAATTTACCGCTTGCAGCAAACACAGACATTGTCGTTACAAGAGCTGAGATTCCCGAAGATTACGATTCGAAGTCTTCTTTGCACAGTGCAAGCAATGCCTCTGACGATGTCAACCTAAACAGATTCCACGCGTGATTCCAGAAGCTTGGTTGGGCAACGTGCAAACCCGCTGTCAGGAGGTATAAACGAAGTTATTGCACCAAATTTTACAAGTGACATTCACAAGACTTATTACTTGAAAGCTTAAATAATTCCAAGAAATGCTATATATATTCTTTCAAGGTTCTACTTTTTGGTTTTTAAACCTTGAAAATTGTTTAAATCCCATTCTTGTTTAGCTGACGAGAAAACAAACCGATTCTTGATTCTTGAAACTTTTCTGCAGCGCATTGCTCCAACGCACTGCAGAAGATTCAAGATTCAAGAATCGCTTCATGCCACCGAGAAGAGAAATCTCAAGTTCTAAAAATTCACAAGCGGCAGCTCTCCATCAAGCTCGTTTTGGTAACTGGCTGCTCGCCACCAGCAGCGAGCAAAAACAGCGGAGCCAAACAGAGCATCCTGCTCATGATCAGACCTTTGTTGCTCCCAGCGGTGCCGTTGCTATCGGATCCAACAGAGCTGCTCTGCCTGGTTTGCTGATAGTTTTCCTTTCGTAGCAGGGAAGATATCCTCTTCCCAGCCAAGAGTACAACTTTGTGGCTGCCCATCACCATTGATCAGTCCCAAGAAAGAGCCCCAAATTATTTAAATCATAGAATGAGCTTGCTTACCTTGTGCTGGGAAACGAGAGATTGAAACTAGTGAGGGAAACCAACATGGGCTTATATACGGCCAGGATTATAGTTTGAAGTGCGAATATTCTAAGGAAACCCGGTCAAGATTTGGTGTTGACCGTCGTTCCATTATTAACATAATCTACTATTATAAATTGCTGAACTTTGTGATCTGCCGGATCTGGATTAGCACCGTTGGATGCTGAGTAATTCGGTAAATATCAATTTTCTATTGTGAGTCCTTTCGAAATATTTTTGCGAAATTTGGGCCGGGCAGTGAGCACGTGCTAGGGGAGGAAGTGTTCATTTGAACTCTCTTTTTACCGCAGCTCCTCAAGTTTCCAAGAAAGTGGGAGAGGAGGCGGCCGCTGACCAGCATTGCCGAGGCCCAGGAGCTTGCGTTGCTCCAGCACAGCTCGGTGATTACCCTTTGCCAGCAGATGTTTAGTTTTATTTCTTACCAGAGTGACCAACTTTCTCTTTTTCTTGCCTCTTTCATCGAGGTGGCTTCTTTCCATTCAGACGATGGTCTCTTGCAACCAGGAGATCAACCTCGAAACCAAGGCTCCTCTCAAACTCGCGCAGCAAACAAACTTCAAGCTCAGAGCAGATGCTCACCACCTTTCTCATCCAAAGTAGCCTGTGCACGCCTGCTCTCGCCAAATACTCATCCGCGGACTCGGGCATGTCAAAGTTGATAACATGCTTCCTTCCACTGTAGATTATGTTGGTGATTAGAAGCAAACCACGCTGGCCCGATTCGTGTCTTCAATGCAGTGCTGTGGCATGTCAGTGTGCGCTGCAGCCACTTCAAAACCCGCACTTTCCATCGCAGAAGCAACCAGTTCCACCTGCGATACGGAGTTGCAGTACACAGTCACTGTGACGCTCCTGGTCCGAAACAACTTCCACACTTCCCCGAGCTTGGCGAGCTTGTCACTGGCGCTCTTGACAGCTGCATAGAAGTGCTTGACTGACCTTACGGTGAAGGCTGGCCTGGCAATCCTGCTCGTCTCGCCCTTGCAGAACCTTGTGACGATATCTTCTACATCGTCTAGCGAGTGGATACCGAAGGTCACGTCACAGCTCCAAAGGATGGAGCATATTGCCTCCATATGTACTTTGTGTGTGGAAACAAGCACATCCGTCTCTACAAGAACCGCTCTGTGTGGCTTCCAAGTCGTGCTGGCCCCCGCACAATACTTCCTGCATCCTGTCTGGAGTCCCGAGTACAATTCCGGGTGAAAGGTCGCTGGCTCGCTGAGGCAAGTCACCTTAACTTCAAACAGTCCCAGGCCGTCCACGAAGGCCTGCAACAGCTCCACAAGCTGCGGAATCCTGTGGCCTGGAGCGAGAACTATTGAGACAGTGCTTACTGAATCGGGAATGAGACCCGGCATGAAGGCCACAATGCCAGACCAGTCCTGGCACACAACGTTGCGTCCAAACACGGAGAAATTCTGGACCGCATCGCAGAAGTACGGGTCGAGCAAACCAGAGCAACACGCTGCTTCTGAAACAATCAAAGCGAACTCCAGATGAAGAAAACAGAAAGACGCGAAGATACATACCTTGGAGTGACAACTCCCCGCAATAGCCATGGTCAACTCAACTCTATAGCCCGTAATTGAGGATGATGCCATGGTAACCAAAGAGGAAATCCTCGAGAGAGAAAGCATCAGGCCGCTGAGCTTGCCTGCGGGATAGCACCGATTGACGAAGACATTGACGGCACCAGAAGCTCCAGCGCCGCCGCCGCCTGCCGATGGAAACACACGGGATCCTCCATAGCAGAGAGTCGCCCCCTGGGAAGTCTATGTTGAAGGGATTCGAACAAGGGAACCCAAAGTATAATGTTTCAAGAAGGAAACAAAGGGAACACTTCAACTTGCCTCAAGAGCGATGTACTTTTGGCTTGATTCCGGAGGCGCAGTTGAAGCTGGCCAGCCTTCTCATTGAATTTTTTTTCCTGTTTCTGTAGATACCCACTGATCCAGCTCTAATGCAAGCAAAGTTGTTGGTATGTATCGCTCTTAATGTTCTTAGGTCGTGAATACTTGTTTCAGGTGATACGTTTGGACGATTTCGAAAACAACTTCTAAATCTACGCACCAAAGTATTTTCTATGGCATTTTTGGGTAAAGCCTATGGCATTGTGTTCCCTCGGTTCTACACGGCTTACTTTACACATCCCAGAGATCATCACCATTTTTTTCGAAGGAGACTCAAATGCAGGTAAGCCATTAGTACAGATAAATTAATGATCTTAACAGATGCCTCCAAACTTACCTGTTCCGGGGAGCATGAGTAACCTGCAAGCAAATATTTCAGAACCAAAGAACATAAATACCGGGGATAAACCACCTTCATAGCCTTCGAATGGCCATCTCGAGATTTCCAATATTTTGTTCTTGCTCTTTTATTCTCCTTTTAGGATGCAGCTGGGATCTTCTCTCCTCTTCTAGCTCAAGCGCCAGTTTCTCCTTGAAATCGTACTGTAAATGAAAAAAAGAACCATTTGCTGCCACGTCAGTATTAGGGTCACGACCATTGGAAAGGGAAAAACAATCCATCATCGGATGTAAGTGAGGACACAGTTTTACCTTAAAGATGTTCCTTGGGTGTTTTCACTGGTGCATTCTGATAACACTCCCTTGCTTCCCTCCTTACTCGAAACTGCTTGTTCACATGATCTAGAGCACTTCGTCCAGGAATTCTTTGTCTCCTTTATTCTTCTTCACTTCACTTCTTCTTCCCTCTCCAATGGTCGTGACCCTAATACTGACATATGGCAGCAAATGGAATATTCCCTCGGAACATGAAGATACAGGCAACTTTAGAAGGCCAGGCCTACGTCGGAGTATACACACCCTGTGTATCGGACGAGACCGAGCTTGTTCTTTTATATTGAAGCATTTGGTACAACATGAAATTCTTTACCAACAAATTGAACTTAAATCATAGATAAGTTTTGATGGACATCTGAGGTTTTTGCAAAACCCTTCTTGTACACGAGGCTGCTACAAACCTATACATCATCACCCATAATCAGCACCCCCTCTCATTTTTTTCTTCTTTTTCCTCGCTTCCACCTCTTCAGAGATGGATGACTTTTAACGTAGCTTCCCTGTGATCTTCGCTGATACTACGACATATCCATGGCTTGCGAGTGATACTTCTCCAGCTCCGCGTTGAGCTCGTCCACAGACTTTTGCGGCCCCCGGCCAGAGGCACTAGCACCGCCGCGGCCTCGGCCCCGGCCGCGACCTCGGCCTCTTCCACCCCGGCCTGTCGCTCTTCGGACAGCGCCGGCGTTACCAGCTCGGGCACCCGCCACTCCCATCGCACTGGACAATCTAAAGCTCAGCGCCCTTTGTCTCGAGAATTGAAAAACGAATCGAGTTTGCTCTACCTTGGGAACGCCCTCTGCGGTCGAGGTGCTGGAGCAACGTAGCCATTTGTGAGCTGAGCGCCACCGCCGATCATGTCAATCACCATCGGCTTCCCGTCCAGCTGCACGTTGTTATACTGCTTCATCGCCACCAGGGCTCGCTCCTTTCTCGCAAAGTAGACCTCGGCTGTACCCTGTGACCACGCAAACACGTCAGGGATGTCTAAACCAAAAGGAAAGTGAAAAGCAAAAGCCGACCTTTGAGCGTCCAACTTTGTCGTAGTGGATGGAGCATTGCTTGAGCTCGCCAATCTCAGAGAAGAGCTCCTGCCAGTAGAAGTAGAGCGCAGTTCCTCAGTCCCGGATCAAGAGTGTCGAATAGAACACGAACCTTGATGTCGTCGTTCGAGACCCCGCTGTCTAAGTTAGAAACGTAAAGCCGGGCACCTTCGTCTAACTGCTGCCAGAGAGGAGGAACTCCACCACGGTTTAACTGTAGATACAGTGTTTCCCTCAATATATAAGCAACGCAAAACTTTTTCACGCAAAACGAAGAGAGGACTGACTCAAATCCATCATCCAGCAGAGTGAAACAACTATCCGGCCAAAGGTAAATGCATATGTAACTGTGCAGTAGAGCTGAAGGATCGACTCTAAGTAGCAAAGGAAGAAGCGTCGAGGCAGAACTTTTTTTTTTGTCTCGAGTTTGCCCCTTCTAGATCCATCCGTCTCAAATCCTTGACTTGGGTTTTCAGCCAACACTCCAAAACCAATCCTTTTTTCTGGCTCCCCCCCAAAAGGGTCATTCCAAAGGCAGCACACACCACGAACGACGAGAAGGGAAGGCAAAAACAAAGGAACCGAAGAAGAAGAAGACTGCTCCCCCTGTCCCAAAAGAACTACACCTATTCTAACCCCTTGAGAGGGAAAAGAAGAAAGAAGAATGAAAGCACTGCGTTTGTTTCGGT